CCAGCCTGGCTCAGGAATATTGAGGAATCCACGCTGCGCCGGCTGGAAGGGAGAACAAAGTTATTTGTGTGTCCTACTTGTGCAATATTTATGAATTTGAAGGGCTGAGTGGCCAGGATTAATCATCCTCTGCCTGAGAGCTGCAGTTTGGGCCCAGCTCATGATTCATGCCCTGACGTGATGCTGGAGTTAAGACAGGGCTGAGCCCGGGCACAAAATGGATTTGAGCAAGATCATTCCACCCAGGAAGGGCAGCAAGGGATAATTATTCCTGAGGGATAATTATGCTGCTTCTGTCTGTAAACAGAGACTGGAACTGCTCAGCTGCTCTGGTTTTTTGGGAGGAATGTTGGGGAACACTGAGGAGCTGCTGCTGGAAGGGACCCAGAGGTGAGAGAAGAGCCCGGGGGGAGATTTGCTGATCCAGGAAAATGATCGGAAAAGCAGCTGAAGCCAAGAGAACTTGAGGGAAATTCCTTTACCCTTTCATGCCCGTGGAAGAGGGTCCATCAAGGCCCTGGTGTGGAAGGAAATGGAGCGGTCTGTCAGGAATTCCTGGGATTTCACAGGTCCTTTCCCACCATGCCAGCTCCTGTGTCCCCCCAGGCAAGGTCCCAATTCCAAAGGGGAAATTCCATGTTTTCTGGGGCACAAACCACTCCTAACTGCACATGAGGACACAAAATCCACCATGGATTTTCTGTAATCACAGAATCCTTTAAATTGGAAAAGCCCTCCAAGATCACCAAGTCCAACCATCAACCAGCACCACGGTCGCCTCCAATCCATGGCCCCAAGTGCCACATCCACACATCTTTTGAACATTTCCAGGGAAGGGAACCCCTCTGGACAACCTTTCCATCCTTTCTGAGGAATAATTTCCCGTAAGATCCAATTTAAACCACTTCTGAGGCCGTTTCCTCTTGCCCTGAAATGATGGTGAGGCCTTGGACAAAGGCTCCAATCCTAAGGGTTGGGATGATCCTGATTTTTGGACAAAAAATCTGCTCAGGCAGGGAAATAATTCCAAGATCAGTGCTTGGAACACAGAACTGAAGCCCTAAACCACCACCTTGGTCTGCAGCCAGAGGAAAAAGGAACATTTAAAACCCAGAACATTCAGAGCCACCGGGAAATCAGGGAAATGAATTCCAGCGCTTTTGTAGGAGCCGTGCTGAGGAGCATCCATGGATGAGGAGAACCATGGGATGAGGAGTCCGTCCACAGCCCTCTGGAGAAGAACAAAAGGATTCTGCCACACAGAGAGTGTCAGCTCCCAGAAATCCTGCTGGAGTCAATCCATGGAGGGTGGATTTATCCCAGAGAAATCATATTCCCCAAGGGATTGTGAGCAGGACAGAAAGGGGCTCCCAAAGATGGAATCAGCAAGAAAAACTGCACATTCAGCACAAAATCAGAACTATAAAAGACAGAGATTTGTAACAAAATGCAGCATTTTGCTGTCCCTTCTGCTCCCTGCTCCTTCCCAAGATAAATCCCAAGGATAGCAGCTCACCAAACCCATCCATTTGCTGCAATAACCAAAGGCCTCTGCCATCAATGACCGCTCTGGACGGTGCTTAAGGTTTACAAATATCTTAATTAGCCATTAATTACCTCCCCAACCCCACATCCTCGTTATGCAACGTCTGTGATTCCAATAAACATTTGGAGCTGGAATCAAGGTCCCTTTCATATCTCATCAAAGCAGGACCAGGATGATCAGAGGAGTCCTGTGGCGCCACTGGATCAAGGCTGCAGGTCCTGGAACAGCAGCCTGGAGCTTTAATTACTTCATTATTTAATGGAGAGCTGATTAGCTTGACAGGGAAGCCCTTTTCTTATTGCAGAGCCTCACATGGAGCAGCTCTCCAGGAATTTCTCTGCCTGGATGTAGCAGAACTTCTGGAAAGACAAATTTATCCCTGGAATTGTTGGAGCAACCTGGGATAGCAGAAGGTGGCCCTTCCAACTCAAAGATCCCTCCCAACCCAAACAGCTCCTTGATTCCATGACTCCATGATTCCATAATTCCAAAATTCTGTGATTTCATAATTGCATAATTCTCTGATTCCATAATTCCATGATTCCATGATTCCATGATCCCATGATTCCATGATTCCATGAGATCTGGAGGCTTCCAGGCCACCCTGTGCTCATCCAAAATCCACGTCCTGCTATGGGATGCTCCCATCCTGAGGTGGCAGAAGCTCAGCACATCCTCAGGCTCATCCCAAGGGCAGGAATTTTTCTGATGTTTTTCCATGTGGGACATCTGGCTGTGCCCACACGGGGTGGGGATGAGCCACAGGAAGGTCTCCCATGGGAAAAGAGGGATCAGCACTTCCTCCAGACCTTCCTGTGACAATTCAGAGTGGCAAAACCAGAAAATAAAGGAAAACACCCCAAAATAACAAATCTCTTCCCTGCTAAATGATGTCTCCAGGGAAAAGGTGGAAAGGGAATGAGGCAGAAGGGATAAATGCTGATTTTTGGGAATAAAAACAGTGTCCTGAATAGAGCAAACCATCCCAATCCCAAAGCTGATTCTTCCTGCTTAAATCCAACATTTGAGGCAGAGAAAAAATCCCTTGCACAGGCTGACACCCTCCAATCCACCTCTTTTTTTTCGCTTACCACAAACCCACTTTATTGAGGTTTTCGTTGCTTTTTTAACATCTTGTTGCTTTTTTAGCGTCTTCTGCCTCCAGGTTTCCATGGCATGATCCCACATATCCCGAAAAACCCAGCCTGGCTCTCAGTAACATTTGCCCAGGGTGGGTTTTATGGATGACAGGGTTTTTCTAGGGCAGATATTCCACGTTTGAGTCTCGATTCCCACTCTTCACTGACCTATTTTATTGAGATATGGGGGGAGCAGTGAGGGGATTACTTCAGGTCCATTTATGTAAGATACTCAGGACATAAATCCCTGATTTTTCCTGCTGAAAATGTCAAGGGAAAAAAAAAATATTCCTGCTAAACAAGGGCAATTCCAGAGCCACACGTCCCTTCCCAACCTCCTGGATAATTCATGGATTTCCTCCTTCCTTAGGATTTGACAGCCCCACTCCTGGAGGAGCTGCAGAAACATCAGGAAGAGGAAATTCCCCCCCATCACAGACATCCAGAGGGATGTTAATAAAGCCCTGCAAGTCGTGGCATTTGGGAAATGTGTTTGTGCCTGGGCCTTCTGTTCCTAATTAGCAGAGCAGTAATGAATCTTGATGAATCAGTAATGACCTTCAAAGCACTGCAACTATTTCAGCTTCCACTTGGCTGGGTAATGAAGTCATTCCAAGAGCAGAATTCCTTTTAGGATGCTGCAAAAGGCTGAGCTCAAATTCCATTATTTTTTTCCCCTTTCCTGATTTTCTGGAGAGTTCCAGGACGGGAAGTTTAAGGGGTGACAGAATTCATCATTTTCTGCAGGGATTGTGATGAGCTGATAGGAATGGCCAACTAATGGCTGTCTCCAGGAAATCCTATCAGTTTTCCACAGGATTCCCAAGGAAGTCCAGGGAATTCAGTAGTTATTGGATGCATGAGTGCACACCCTGCACTGGTTGTTCCACCTGGGCAGGAAGGTGACAAAGTCTGCATGGAATGCTCATCCATCATTCCAAACTTGCCTCTTCTCCTCTAAGAATCCTCCCAATTCTTTTCCTGATAGTAAAATCATGGAATCATGGAATGGCTTGGGATGTAAGAGACACTAAATCCCATCCAGTGCCACCCCTGCCATGGCAGGGACACCCCCCACTGTCCCAGGGTGCCCCAGTGTCCAGCCTGGCCTTGGGCACTGCCAGGGATGCAGGGGCAGCCACAGCTGCTCTGGCAATTCCAGCCCAGCCAGCAATTCCCAATTCCCAATCTCCCACCCATCCCTGCCCTCTGGCACTGGGAGCCATTCCCTGGCTCCTGTCCCTCCATCCCTTGTCCCCAGTCCCTCTGCAGCTCTCCTGGAGCCCCTTCAGGCCCTGCCAGGGGCTCTGAGCTCTCTCTGGAGCCTTCTCCTCTCCAGGGGAACATTCCCAGCTCTCCCAGCCTGGCTCCAGAGGGGCTCCAGCCCTGGAGCACATCCATGACCAAAAATGATCCAACAGGGAACTTCCTCAGGTTTCTGTTGTTTGACCAAAGCAACTCAGCCCCTGATCATATTTGAGGAACAGTGACCAAATCAATGAGGTCCCACCAAGAATTTTTCTGTCCTCACCCCATTTATGGCTCCAGATCCCCCTAATTTGGACCCTCTAATTTGTCTAATTAGGCGGATTCTCCACTCTGTAATTAGGGGGAGAAAAAAGCCCATACCTTTGCACAGGAGGGTTTTTGGCAGGGTTTCCCCTTTCCAGCCCAGCTATTTGTTGTCACAACCTCACAGGTATTTAATTATCTCTTAGCTGTCTGTTCCACTGGCAAATGTAGCTGGAATTAGCAACAGGCTGAAAAAATAAATCCTTGTTTTTGGGGAAGGGTGACACAGCAGGCACTGGCAACCTGGGCACATGGGATTTGTCTCCATGAGCAATCCACCTCAAAAGGATTGAGCAGAAAATAAAAACTGGATGAAAATAAAACCAAGAATTTCTCTGTTTCTCTGATTCCCTGATCAAGGGTCAGGGAATCCCGGAGTGGTTTGGGATTAACACTGATCTCATTCCAACCCCTGCCATGGGCAGGGACACCTTCCACCGTCCCAGGCTGCCCCAAGCCCTGTCCAACCCAGTCCTGGGCACTTCCAGAGATCCAGGGGCAGCCACAGCTTCTCTGGGAATTCCTTCCCAGGGCCTGCCCACCCTCCCAGCCAGGAATTCCAAATTCCCAACATCCCACCTAAATTTCCCCTCTTTCCCTTTGAACCCACTCCCCATTTCCTGCCATCACCTCTTGATGAACATTCCCTCTCCAGCTCATTGCAGCCCCTGGAATGTGCTGGGAGCCCTCCCCACCACGAGGTGCCTTCAGCCCACAAATCCAGCCCAGGAGCTCCTCCTCACCCGTGCTGCTGGAGATGTTGACGTCGATGCTGATGTCCGAGATGCCGCCTCCCTTGAGGGACGCCACGCAGGTGTAGGTCCCGAAATCCGTGAACTTGAGGTCGATGATGTCCAGGTTGGTGGTGCCGGGGGACACGTCGGGGTCGGTCTGGGTGATCACCATCCTCTCCGAGCTGCGCAGGGGCCGCCCGTTCTTGAACCAGCTGAAGGTGAGCTCCTCCGGGGGGATGGCTTCCACCTGGCACGAGATCTTCACCTCCCGCCCGATCTGGATGTTGTCGTCCTTGTGGTATGGGTCGGGGGTGATCCAGAAGCGTCCTTTTTTTAAGGCTGAAACACAAAAAGGAAAGAGAAATTTTATATAATAGAGTGAAAATTTGGCTTTGCTGGTGTTGCTGTAGGACATGAAATAAAATGACGCAGACACGCAACTCTCCAAGGTAAAAAAGAGGGCGAGTTTAATTTTGACTCCAACATTTACAGATTTCCAAAAGTGACAGTGGATTGGAGGGTGACAGTGCCACCTCTCCAATGACACTGGACAAACCAACAGGCCATCAAATTTCTCCTCCTCCAGAAAAGAATGCAACAAATAAGTTATTTACATAAAGTGTATAAAAAAGTTCGTTACAAGAATGTAAACATCAGAAGACTTAGAAGAACTTAAAAAACTGGGGAGACACACTGGAGGCCTAAATATGATTTTCAGAGGGGCAGCAGCCACAGGATTTGATTTTACTCCCAGGAATCTGCACGGCACCAACTTGGAATCACGAGGATGAGCCAGTTGGAAACTGGCACGGAAAAACTCTGAGGCAGAAACTGAGCTTTATTTTGTGTGCAAATAAACAAGATATCAGGCAGAAACGGATTATATTATTTTTATATATGAAATATATAATATTTTATATAATATTTTAATGTATGAAATATGATTTTATTATTTTTAGGATGAAACACTGGCATGGGTTCCCTAGAGAGCCAATGGAAGTTCCATCCCTGGAGAAATTCATGGCCAGGGGTTTTTTTTTTGGAGCAACCTGGGATAGTGGGAGATGTCCTTGCTCCTGGGATGGAATAGGATGAACTTGAGGGTTTCTTCCCACCCCAATAATTCTGGAATTTTTTGGTGGAACTCCTAACCCTAACCCTTGCACCTTCCAAAGCACATGTTAAACGCATGGATAATTTTTCCTAGGAACTGAAATCCTGATTAAATTCCATCATGGATAAGGCAGATGTGAGTGCTGTCACCTCCTCAATGAAAACTAGAAAGTCCCAGCCCCTAAATCAGGCTGAGCTGCTGCCAACCAAAATAATTCCTGAGATTTCAGGGGTTGTTTTCCACCTCTGGAGGGATTTCCAGGCTTTTCCTCATTCCTGCCCTGTCAGAGCACCAGAAAAAGGGAAATATCACCCTAAAATCACTGGCACAACCAGTGGGGTCACCTCCAATCCATCTGGAATCTCTCCTGCATCCAAGACTATCCAAACCTCCAGTACAAATCCAATTAATTCTCCACCTCCCACCAGAGATAAGGAAATCTCAGGGTTCCACATGGGGATTTTTTGAGGGATAACCTCCAGAGCAGGGACAAAGCAGCTCTGGAAAACCTCATTTCCCACCATCTTCCTCACAAAGGAGCCTCTTATCCTGGCATTCCATCCTCAGTCTCCAGGAATAAAATATTCCTGCATCTCACTCACCTCAATTTTCTATAAATCAGCCTGAAACTCTCCAAAACTCCACCCCCATTGACATGAACGGAGGGTTGGGATGATCCTGATTTTTTTTTTGGGGGGGGGGGGGGGGGAGAATGCTTCAGGATCAGGCATTTAACCTTTCAAGGACAGAGATTTTTTTGATGAACTGAATAGAAAATGCTCCTGACACAATCCAAAAGTCCATTTTTTTCCCCCTATAGAGATGTGCCAAAGGATGTTTGTGAGTTTATCCAAGTGGTTTTTTCCATCTGGATGGACCCAAACCAAAAATATTGGTTAGAAATTGTACAGATCCCCAGGCTGGGTAGAAGTATATCCACCATTTATGGAGATTTCTACTGAGATGTTTCCCAATTCCCTGGGTTCCTCTCCCCTTTCCCTCTGTCCTGGATCCATTTCACAGAATCCCACTATGGTTTGGGTTGGGAGAGACCTTAAATCCCATCTCATCCCATCCATCCCATGGCAGGGACACCTCCCACTGTCCCAGGGTGCCCCAGTGTCCAACCTGGCCTTGGGCACTGCCAGGGATCCAGGGGCAGCCACAGCTGCTCTGGCAATTCCAGCCCAGCCAGGAATTCCCAATTCCCAATCTCCCACCCATCCCTGCCCTCTGGCACTGGGAGCCATTCCCTGGCTCCTGTCCCTCCATCCCTTGTCCCCAGTCCCTCTGCAGCTCTCCTGGAGCCCCTTCAGGCCCTGCAAGGTTCTAGAGATTCCATACTTTGGACATAACTAAAAAGATCTATATACTCCATCCACGAGTGGTGAAAATGTGAGTTCAGATTCAGTTTTGCTTATTCCAGCTCAATTTTGTCAATTCAAACTCAGTTTGCTAATTCCAACGCAATTTTGCAAATTCTGATGCAATTTTGCGAATTCGAACTCAATTTTGGTAATTCCAACTCAGTTTTGCTAATTCCAACTCATTTTTGGTAATTCAGTAGCTCCTTAAACAAGGACTTGCAAATTCCACACTGAACGAGCACTCCCAGCACCTGGAAAAGAATTAACACTTCCAGAGCTTGGAAAAGAATTCACTCTCATTTATTTATTTATTTATTTGGTTGTCTTTTCAAAGTGGGGGGACAAAGCCTAAATTTGAGCTATTTACCCTCAGTCCCACAGGGGTAGGAGAGGCTTCTTCCATTGAGGAAGGCAACATTTTTAAGGAGAGAATGGAAAATTCGGTATTTTTCTAGGAAAAGCGTCACTTCGGATGCTGCTCCTCAGTTCCAACCACATCCTAAAAGCATCCAACTGGTTGATTTTATTTATTCATTAATTATTTAATTTATTTACATTATTCATTTACTTATATTTATTTAAGGGAGTTCCATGGCTTTAATCAAGAATGGAATTTTTTGCACTCCTCTTTGCCTAGCAGTTCTCCATCCCTTTGGGAATTCTCAACCAATTCCCAGGAATCAGCACTACCAAGTTGGAATCACGAGGCTGAACCAGTTGGAAACTGCCAGAGAATTAAACTCTGAGGCACGAGCTGAGCTTTTTTTTGTGTGTGTGGAAATAACAGCACAAACAATGCTTACACACACAAAAACCCCTCAATATTTTATGCAGATCCTTTTCAGGCAGGGGAAAACCAAAAAAGAACTCCATGGGCACGACCAGAGCGACGTTTCAGCCCAAATTAGTTGCTCATAACCTCAATAAACTATTTTTATTTCTGAGTTTTCAGCAGTTTCTCCTGACTAGAACTGAACAAAGTCTAGCAGGGAAGTCGGGGTAACTTTCCTTTGTGGAAAAGCACAAATTCCAAGGTAAGAAAAGGGGGCAAGAACCTCAAAGTTTGGGTCAAAGTTGTTTCTTGCAAGCAGAACTGGGTTGGAAGTGGTTGGTCTTTAAGGTTCTTCGAACCCAAACCATTCCATGACTCTGGATGAGGTCTCCAAAATCCCTTCAGAGCTTCCTGATTTCCACCACGTTGAGAACACCTGAACTGAGCTTGATCCAAACCCACCAGGTAAAGGAAAAAGGGGTTTTTGTATCATTTCCTCTGTCCAGCAATCCCATAAAAGAGTGGCTTGGGTTTTCCTCAGCTGTAGATTCCTGCACCTCTGTTTCCAGGAGGGCATTCCAAAATGCCAAGAAAATTGAGCCATGCCATGGATTTTGTCTCTATGGTATCAGTTATGCGCTGAGAAGTTTTCATGGGGTGCGACACAGAAGTGAAAAAGAAATTAAAGGTTAAGGGGTTTTCACACAGGCAGAGACAAGGGGGAATGGTTATAAACGTAAAGAGATTTAATGGAATATTGGGAATTGGGAATTTCTGGCTGGAAGGGTGGGATGGCCTGGGCTGGAATTGCCAGAGCAGCTGTGGCTGTCCCTGGATCCCTGGATAGCCAAGGCCAGATTGGACATTGGGGCTTGGAGCAGCCTGGGACAGTGGGAGGTGTCCCTGCCATGGCAGGGATTGGATGGAACCATCTCCAAAGTCACTTCCCACCCAAACCATTCCAGGATTCTCAGATGAACCAGCAAAATGTGGGAGATGCTGCTGCAGACCCCTCCCAGTGGATTTTTGGGAACGTCACCAGCCCACGGAGCTGCAAAGGAGCAGCAAATGTGCAAATAAATCTGAAACTGTTCTTTGAGACTCAGCAAAGTGCCAGCCTCACTCCAAAGAGACCCCAAAGAACGGGGATGTGATCAAACAATCCGAGATGAAACAACTTTTGTCCTCAAACTCCTCACAAACAGTCCCTGCCCTCCCTCATTAATTATATTTTCAAAGTAATAAAATGCAGTTCAGGATCTCAAGCAAGGCCTATTTGCATTCATCAGGTTCAGTTGTTTTTTTTTCCCATCCCCTCCCTGATCAACCCCAAATTTTCCTTTAATGCCTCAGAATGTTCCTGCCTCACCTATTTCCAATGACTCAAACACCACCACTAAATACATCAAGCTCTGCACTATTTTCAGCACTATTTTTAGGCTTTAACACCAGAATTATGGACCCCTGGCTGCTTCCCCAGTGGATGCAGGACAGGGAATGCTCAGATATGTGGTTGCTGATGGTTTTTTTCCATGTTTTACCTGTGACATCAGGGCCATGGAGCAGCAAAACTCCAAATTTCTGGCTTTAACCTTCTTTGAGCAGCCAGAGGCCCCTTGAGGCACCTTCTGTGCTCTCCCCAGAGGAGGTTTGGAGTCATTTTGGTTGTTTCCCTTCACTTTTTGTCAGCGATTTTGTTTTGAACCATTCACAGTGAACCAGAGAAGAACCTCGCTCAAGCAGATGTGGAGCCCTGCATGGTCTTGGAGAAGATGTTGGAGGTTTTGGGAGCTCAGAATCCAGCCTGGCCCTTTTCCTGAGCTCCCAGAGTGGGAAATTTCCAATATTCCAATAATTTCATTCCCAGCCACACCCCACTTCCAGAATCCTCAAAAATCACAGGGAATTCTGTGATCTCCTGGATCTCACTGTCGGCTGGGGCAGAGAAGCCAGGAAACCTTTCCTGGTGTCCAGGTGCTCCTGACCCCTTCCTGTTTCCTTCTCACATGTGGGGAAAAGAGTTTGTGATCCTGGGAAAGATTCTTCAATTATTTTTTAAGGACAATGGACTACAGAGACACAGCAG